GCGTCAGAATATCGAGTTCAGCCGTTCCTATGCAGCTTAGTTTCTGCAGGTCGGTTATGCCGTTGCTAACTCGATATCATCAGCATAAATGAACTTCTTCGACGCTTTTGGCGGGAGTTCGTTGGTATAGACATTAAGCAGTGATGGAGAAAGCACTGCACCTTGTGGGGGCCCGTTGCTAACGGTTCTTTCCTTGCTAACCCCTCCCCCATCGATGTGGAGCCATTGCCAACGGTCGCTACTCATGACTGCGAAAAGCGAATATGCTTCTGACATCTTATTAGTCTAGAAATTTTTCCATGATTCCATCACTTCAGACTATATCATAAGCCGGTGATAAATCTGTCAAAGCAGCCCTGTTTTTTGTTTCCGCTAAATCCTGCCTCGATGAAAGCAGGCAAGTGAAAGCAGTTGCTCGATACAGCTGTTCTCAAGGCGAAAACCAGCTTATTTTAGAGAGGAGAGTCTTCAATTATAAGTAAAGCCGTGTTAGCAGAGTTCGTTCCATTTTTCTCCTGACTGTGAGAGATACGCTTTTAGCTGTCTGATGCTTTTGGAGGTCTTCTTGGTTTTAGGAGGGCGATGTTTGGCATGCTGCTTTGTGAACTGCTGTGAAAAGAGAGGCTAGCCACCGTCGGTCCTGTGGACTCCAATTGTTAAGTAATTCTATCTTCTCGAGCAGTCTTCCTGTTCTTTGTGGTCGACAGGGCCACCTTTATTTCCTCTAGAGTGTATGGAGCTAGTAAAGGATTCTTCCAGGGCGCGTGAAAAGGTTTAGAAAATATTCTTCCTTAATTGTTTTGTTGATGACTTAGTCGCCGTTTTGGGCTTATAGAGGAGGTTAGCAGCAATGGCGTCAGGGGAAACCTTCATAACTTGGTGTTTTGTAAGCTGAGCGGCGCAAAGGGGGCGGATCATGCCTGTGCCTTGCCGCTCAAATGTTTGAAATCCAGCGTTTCCACAGTCTCCCTCGATCGTTTATACCGCTCTCTGTTCAAAGATTCGATGAGACCAGCTGCAGTTTTAAGCGATTCCCTGCATCGTTACACCGAGTAAAGGTCCCTTGTATCATTCGACCAACAAAGTGGATAGGGTTTTCTGTACTCACGAGGGATGTTGTTTTCACACGAAACTGCTGGAATATTGAGACGTGGCCTCGATCTGTTGGATGCGGTCTTCGAGTTCGGCAGTGACGGTGGCCAGTTTGCTTTTCGAAAGTTCCAGACGAGAGGACTCAATAAATGGTATCCGCAGATGAGTTTAGAGCATCACAAAGGTGATGCTGGATTTCGGAAAGTCTTAGGCACCCTCCTGGAGGCAGAAAGAGAGATGCAGCTACTACCTTTGGAGACGCTGATATCCGGGCATTGATCAGAATTCCATCTGACTAATCTAAAAGTTTGTTACAGTCTGACATCATGACACAAGTATGCACCAGCTGCTGCTGTCCTGTCGGTTAGCTGTTCACCCGTGCTTCGTTCACTACGTATCCCCATTCTGTATTGTGACTATTGAAGTCGTCCGCATAAACTGCTAAGTGGGGCACCATTGGTAGTTACAGTCGGGTCGCTTGTATATGTTCATTATGGACTGTCCGATCTTCGCTAGTATTTAGCACTGCGACATCCTTATGGTCTACTCTTGCATACGTGGCTGAACCGTGATATCCGTTATTTTACATTGTACGCTTCAGTAACTGGTATTTAAAAAATTTTCCTGTCTGGTTCATCCGCAGAAGGAGTCGTTTAAGTGTTCATAGACTTTGAGTTGGCACGTGCTTTATGCACTGTGGAATTTATAGACTTGTTATACTGACTGCGTCAGTTGTAGGAATGTAGGAATATCTATGAGCAGGAAATGGTATAATAAATATAAAGAAAATGTGTAACTGCTAGAATATTTTGCGTCCTTGCGCTTTTATGATGGAACCATTTCTGGTATTCTTTTTCCTTCAAGAATCGGTAGGGCGTTGATGTTCATTTCCTTGCTATCAGCCAGGAGTGCAGAAGTGGGCAGAAGTCATGCGGCGGGCGTACAAGTCTTCCGTTTCTCCCCATTGAACGAAATGCATTTACCAACCGCAGAATGAAGCAAGACGAATGACCGAATGAAAGTTCGAACCGGGGTCCTCTTAACTCTAAGTACGCTCTGCCGACTAACCAGTCCCGGTCTGTAGTATTGTAATAGACAATTCTTTTTAAAATATCCAGAGAAACTGAAAGGGAGTCAGGGAAGCCGTTCTTGACAACTATAAGA